TTGAGATTGTTCTAGTACTTCTCTGGGCAAATGATAAAAATTCCCTCTAAGTTGTCTTTTAAGTAGCAGTTAATTATTTTCTTTGAATGAGCATACATTATTTTCTGCAGTTTTATATATTCCTCAATTTAGTGTTTTTGAATTGTTGAAAATATCCCAGTAAAATACCTATTTTTATATATTGCCACTAATCCTTAACAAGGGGACAGCTTTCTTAATGTATCGAATATGACAAAGATGTAGCTTTTGTTAATGCAAATTTAGAGTTTTCCTGTGGTTACATTTAGTTAACCGGAAGTGTGTGCCACTTAAGCCAGTGTGGATTTCAAACTTCACACCCGACTAATGGGAGAAATGTGCTGCTGAGATATGGCTAGCTCGTCTGCCTGCCGGCCTTTTCCACTTTGCAACTGTTATTCTCAGATGATTTGTTTGCCTTGGTTTAGGTGTACGTTTTTATAGTTTTTTTTTTTTTTTTTTGTTTTTTGCTTTTTAATCTTGCAGAGATTGTTTGAATTTTAGATTTTTGGCGGGGGGCGGGGGGTGGGAGAGTTGTGATCAAATCTTTGCCCTAATTTTGACAAACCATGGTTTTGAGTTTATAATTGATATCCATTGAAATTGCATTTAAAATCAGAAAATTTAGACATATACATTTGTGATACTTTAAATTTGCAGCTGACAGAATCTATATAGGAGTATCAGAGTTAGTCTTGGTACTTGAAATAAGTTAAGTAATTTATTAGCAGTTTCTTTTCTTCTTTCTTCTTTCCCATTTCTACTACCCATCAAATTGTGATGGCCTTTTTTGTTTGTTTAGCATAAATATCTTTTCCTGACTTTGAAGATGGAAATATGAAAATTGTCATTGTATTCCTATGCCATTTTTCTCCTCTGCTCCTCTCCTCTGTTTGTCTCCCTCCCCCACCGATATTTACTTGCCAGTAAGTCTGAGTTATGTGTGTATTTTTTTGGCAAAGTAATTATAAAGTTTAGCTTAAGAACTGTGTTCTGTTTTAATTTTGCTTCTTGGGTGGGTTTAATTTTTCTTAAACACATCAGTTGATTTCTAATGCCAAGGACAATGTGCCATTTTATTCAAATGTTTTGGCTTCTTCTCGTTTTTTCTTTTTTTCTTTTTTGTTTGTTTGTTTTTGCGGTACCAGGGATTGACCTCAGGACCTTGCGCTTGCCAGGCAAGTGTTTATTCTACTGAGCTATCTCCCCGGCCCCTTAGCTTCTTAATAAAAGACATTACCTGCTACTTAAGATATTTTAGAAATTTTGTAGATTTTTTTCTTGTTGGAAGCACTTTAATTTCTTACAGTAGGACAATTTACATCTGACAGTATTAAAATAATTTTTAAGTTGACCTTTCCTCCTTTAGAGCTTAAACGCCGTAGTGTTTTCTCTTTTAAAATTCTACAAGTGTCCAATTTTGACTTGGCACATCTTCTGCTTTAGGAACGACAACGATATGTGGAAGCTATTGAGTTGGAAGCTAAAGAAGTTCTTAAAAAATTGTTTCCAAAGGTGTCTGTCCCTTCTAATTTGGTAAGACTAATTTATCCTTTCTTTAAAGTATGACATTATTTAAGAAAGTTGTGTATGCATAACATTTGTTTTCAGTACTTGGATTTATTAGTATACAAATTCTTTAATTTCTATTATTAACCCAGGGTGTTTTGAGTAATTAGGATTAATAATTTATTTTAAAACTCATTTATTTTTATTCACTAATACTTTTGTTGTGGTCTGTAGAATTCAGATCATAATCATCATATCTGGGAAAGAAGTATTTCTGAATAGTTAATAAAATCAATATAATCATGATGGCCTTGTTCAAAGTAGCACATTACTTTTTCCTTTTAGCTGTTTTTCTGAATTTATTTGTAACATGAGCTAGGCTCTTTACATATCAGAAATTCAAGATTTTCATCATCTGTTAACTTCTTGAAGCAAAAGTCTTGAAGACAATAGAAAACTTGCTTTATGTAAGGTTGATGTGTTTTTATGAAAGAATAAATTTATTTTTGTTTAGAAAATTAGCACAATAAGTATTTGACGGTAGAGAAAGCCAGTGAGGATGCAGGCCCATTTCCTAAACTAGGTAGGTACTTTATCTGCAATTTATTTTTATTTTTTATTTTTTTTTTAAAGGCTTAAAATGTACTTTAATAAGTTGATGCTGTATTACTGCTCCATTTCTCAGAAAAACTCCAAATTTAAGGTATCAGGGATAAATCAAACATGGTACACCAATAAAAAATGCACAGCATAACTACCTAAGATAGGCAAGACTAAGAGCTACTGTCGGACCTTCAGCATACAGCAACCCTATTCCCAAGATTGTACTAGGCCTATCAAGAAAAGCTGTGAACAGCAACATCATAAACACAAAAAATGTCATTTCTGGGATATCCTTTCCCAAGGAAAACATGGAGGCAAGTTAACGCAAGATTTTTTTTTAAAGATATACTAAAATGAAAATCTCTAAAGAGAAGATGTCT